TATATATATATATATATATATATATATATATATATATATATATATTATTTGATCATAAATTAATTATATATTCATTTCTATTAAAGCTTTCTTAAAATGTCACCACTAAGTATTTTCTAAACTGTTTTTACTTATTATATAACAATAAATAATGTTTAATGCAAAGATAATTTGGAGGAAAACACAACATATAAAACTTGAAATTTTATGCCCTGACAATCATATGCATTGAAGTATTTTCATTTCAATAATTAAAAACTAAAAACATATTTTTACAAGTTTTTGAACATATATTCTGTGTGAGTTTATTTTTATATTATCATTTTAATTAAAAAAGGAAAATCTTATGTAATTTCTAAAAACATTCATCTGAAAAGACAGTTTCAGGTAGCAAACTGTAGCACTCAATTCATGGTGTTGGTTCCCCAGATTGTCAATGTAGAGAAGTACTTAATTAGTTTTATATGCTGCTTTATGAAAATAATAGTAAAACTATAAGATCTGAACTAAAGTTTTAGGTTTATAATGATTTATATTTGTTTAGTTCAAACATAACTAGTTTAGTCTATCAGTTCACAAGTAACTCTTCTAGAAAGCAAATACGGAATGCCTCTGTTTTTTCCTGTGTTTAGGATAAAATGTGAGTGTTAATTCTTTTAGAATTTAGACATTTAACATAAATCATAGTTCAATATTACTATAGTACAGAATATGGAGGATACAAATCATATTCATCAGCTGTCTGCATATCCCAAAAAGAGTGGTCCATTTTTTAACTAAACTTACATTTGCAGTTGAACTGATGGTCAGATCTTACTAATCATTAATGATCAGTTGTCTGCTTGTTTGTTTCAGCGATAAGCAGATGATTTCATTGTTAAGGTATAAAAGTGGGTAAAATAATACCAATTTACCATTTGAATAGTGTCCATAACATTATGAGTGAATCGGTTATTCAATCATCTGACATAAAGCATAAAGGAATAAATACAACACAATAGGAAAGACTGTCAAAATCATCGCCATTATTTGACACATGAATTTAGTGTAATATTGTAGTACAGCACAGGAGAGAAGCTGTGAATTTGAGATGTTTTAGAAGGCATCCTTTCTTATAATTTTAACAATCCTATTCACTTTTTTGTATTTCTTTGAGGCTTTAAACCTTAGTCTACCTTATTCCTCATGTTATTGAACAGCTGCAGGTGATATGGCAGAGTGGAAAGTGTCCTCATATGTTTTTTGCAATATGTTGAATAACTCTGCAGAAATGTTGCAGCAGGACTTGGGTCAGGATTTGAATTTTCTGTCTAACTAAACAATAAAGGACGAGGAGCAAATGTTACAATGGAACAAATGCCTGCTGCTGCAGAAGAAATGCCAAGGCTTTTCCTGTCAGGAGGCACAAAGGTGTTTATTCCGAGAGCAAGAAGCTTTTATTCAATGCGTATTTATTTCTGAGAACAAATTATTCATAATGTCACTCTATACAAAGCTATTGTAAAAAAAAGAATCCAAATCAGTTCGAGGGAAGACCAGACTCCTCAAAAAAAAAAAAATATGTTTCTCTATAAAATTGCTCTCAGCTATTAGATGATCAAAATTTATTGAATGTATAGAAATGTTTTCTATTTAAGCTTATTTTGTAGGTTAATATGATGCTTATAAGAATATATAATTTCTTTTCTTAACTTAGATGTACCATAATGTGAATTACTAGAAGGTAAACTCTTTAAAATTTATAGTTTGTACTTTTAGATATAAAATGCTCTAATCTTGTATGAATAAAAAGAATCAAAAAAAAATAAATGAATGCAACAAAAATTGCCAGATAATTTAATTATATACTATCAAACTAGCTATATAATTACTTTTTATCAGAAGAATGCCTTTCTATGATAGAAGATCCCTATTGGAAAATTATCTGATCATTTTTTGATTCATCATTGTAAAACAAAACAAAAACAATAATACATATCTTTGAGTTCTAAGATACCTGCTATCCACAAAAGTTGTTACTTCAACACTTGTATGTTTACATATATACTATGAATAAAGTGCATAATCTGATAAATGCTATAATTATGTCATCATATATTCTGTTCAAAGGTGATATTCAAATATTTAAAGACCAGCACAGTACAATGCAGGTACTCAGACAAGACTTCAGCTCCTAAGCTGCATTGGTTCCCCAACTGACCCACAGCCCTTACAGCATTAAGAAATAGCTCCATATGCTCTGCATAATTCACATGTTTGCATATGTGTGTGGTAATGTACATTATTCAGTTAATAGAACATAAAATTTATAGTTTAAAAGATGACATATTCCAATGGCTTACACTAGAAACTATAGATATTACAATGCTGTGTATGTTGAAGAAAATAACCAAACAGCAATGATGGCAGAAACTGGGAATCATTTGAGGCACATCAGGGAAAATGTCTTCATCTTGTCACTTCTGAATCACATTTTCACATATTAATTTATAAAATATATAGTTTGTGGCTAAAAAGATTGAATTCTGTGAAACTGCATATTATAAACATTTTATTGAGTATATTACAGATTAACATCTCAACAATTTGTTAAAATATTTTATGTAACATCATTTTAAAATTCACAGTAAAATTTGAGGTCAATATTATTTGACTTTCACACACACACACACATACACACACACACACACACACAAAACTGCAGCCTCTGTAATTTGCTTTCCCACTCTCAGTGATAAATGGATAGATCAATCACAATTATATCAGATTCCAAAGCCTGTTGTCTTAATCCTATGCTACATTGTCCCATATTAATAGAGCAAATGAAAGAAAGTATGTGTTTCACTCAGTGTTTTCTAAATTAAATATAAACACTATACTCCTCACCAGTCACATTTTTCCATTTTTAAATTTGCAAGACAATTATATTTAAATGCTTTTATTTGTATGAATGACTCAAATGTAGGGTCTCAATTAGCCCCCATTGTGTGGCTTTCTTAGAACCAAACTTGAACAATTTATGAGAACATTTAGCCAAATTCCGGTCACTACTCCCTGAGGTGTCTCATTTCTCTCCAATACTGTTGTTTCTCCTATGTTCTCAAGTGAGTGAAACATGTATCTAGTAATACTAAACTGATTCAAGGGATTTAAAAAAAAACAATTAAATACCAAATATGTTCTAAAGACTTTGGGCTTGTCTTGCCAAAATATGCTAGAAATTCTCTTAAAAAACAATTTTCTTGGCTGGGGATGTGGCTCAGTGGTTAAGATCCCCTGGATTCAATCGTGATACCAGGAGGAAAAAAGAAAAGAAAAAAAAGTTTTTCTTGAAACAATAAAACCAAAATACATTTATTTTTCAGTTATACTTGTATATTTGAAAATAAGGAAAATAAATGCAGATGACATAAGAACAAAGGAAAAAAATTGGAAATGTTTGAATTCTCCTGAGAAAAAACCAGTAAGGCTTCAGACTGATTTTAAGGAAAAAAATTAAAACATGAGATTTAATAAAAGTAGATATATAATTTATATACAAAATCATCAATGTTGAAATTGATCATCTGAAATAGAAGTATCAATATTTCAAAATATTAAATTTATTTTTAAAATAAAATATAATTTTAAAATTATTGTACATTGTGGAACATTCTATTTAAACAAAACAATTTTTGTTTTTAAAAGGTGCACCTAAATTTTAGTGATTAAGAGAATTGATTGGTATATATTTTTGGGAACCAGGGATTGAACCCAGAGGCGCTTAACCACTGAGGTTCATCCCCAGCACTTTTTATATTTTATTTAGATAAGGTCTTGCTCAGTTGCTTAGAGCATAGATAAGTTGCTCAGGCTGGCTTTGAACTTGCAATCCTCCTGCCTCAGCCTCCTGGGATTACAATCATATGCCACTGTGCCCAGCTTGCCTTGTATATTCTTAAACAAGTATTTCCACATCAACTGAAACCTCAGGCAATGTTGAATAGTAAATGGTTTCTCAATCTTCTGTCAGTGAAGTCAGGGAAATTAACAATAACTACATTCATCAGAATTAAGTGTGTTTATATAAATACTAACAGCAATCACAGGAATGAAGCAAGCTGTCCTTATACCTACTGTTTTCCCACTATGACCACATCCAGTGAAAGACACTTAGTAAACATTGCTTGAGGAGAATGTGTGAAACAGAAATTTTCCTTGGCTATATTGTTGAAAATTACATGAATCATTTGTAGATCCTGTCCTCATATAGAGATCTGGTTCTTTGGTTTTTCAAGTGAAAAAAAGAAATATACTATATAGTCTTGAAGGCAATTTTTCATGATTATAAGACATTATTAAACTTATTTTTTCATTGTGTATTTTTCAACTTGTAGACAATGTTCAACAGATTTCTTCAGTCCCTGTGTATGTACAAGTTCTAAATGTCAATGATCATGCTCCTGAGTTCTCTGAATACTATGAGACTTATGTGTGTGAAGATGCAGATTCTGGTCAGGTAAGAAAGCTTCCTAAATTACCTAAGTCTGAGTAACACATCACTGTTTTATATATTATACATAATGACTATATCACGTATAATACTAATATTCATGTGATATTATATATATTATACTATAGTGATTCTATATTTCACATGTTAGACATGATTAATATTTTATATGCTGTACATAGATTTTGTTATATACTTATCCCACTTTGAAATGCTCTCATAGACACTTTAATTATCTTAATTACATGTTTCTGTTTTGTGCTCAACGTAATAGTATATGTTTCTTTTTATTTAAAAAATTTCTAAAAACAAAGATTTTTTTATTTTAAAAATTTCTAAAGACACTCTGTAGGGCACTCTGTATGATACATACCATTGCTTATTTTTCAAATGGCCCCTAATTTCCAAAAATTTTATAGTCTTATTTTCAGAAATACATAAATCAATATATTCTAAATGACATTAAATTTCTCAATGAAGCTAGTTGGAGACCATTTTTATTTGTATTTTACAAAAGCAGGAATTACATTTTTTACCAATCAGGTGTAGTAACCAACCTTATGTTTTACTTTTAATTTTCTAATACAGTAGCAGATAGGAATATCTTAAGATATAGGCACATCATAATTGTTATTCATTTTTCAACCATAAGATACTGGAAATTGTTAATGGTTTTTAAACTGTCAAGTGAACTATGTTCAATAATGTTTATGCTTGAACCATTTTATCCTGAAAATCTGAAATCTTGTAATTTTAAGCATATATTTTTTAAAAAATACATGATTATAAATATGCAAATAATCTTTTAAATTTATTCAATTTTTATGGGTTAAAACCCATAGTTTTTGAGAAAGTGGAAGATACAAAAGTTCTGAGTTTCTCCCTTGTGCTACACTGCCCAGAAATATAAAATTTAACAAATTTAGACATCGGGGACATATGTGTAGACTGGTAGAGATCATTAAAATAAAATAAGAAAAGAATGCAAATGTACTGGAACTCACAATTCCCAAGGAAAATAGGCTTACACAATTTTAAAAAAATTTATATTATAAGTGGATTATTCCACTTGTAATTTATATGCTGTACATAAATTTTGATGTTTTCAAACATTTTAAACCCGTCTGATTTCTTGAACAGAAAGACAAATATATTAATGAACTTCGAAAAATCACTTTAACTAGTTTATATTTAATTAATGATTCTTTAAATATAGTAAATCTTTTTCCTCAAAATTTAAATAATTTGAAAATAATCAACATATCTTGCAATTTTCTAATCAATACATATTAAATTTATGCACTGAACATAAATCATATTTTACAATGATTGTAAGTACAATTAAATTTTAAAGTTACATATTTCAACTTTTTAGTTAAAATTTTTAATTGAAAAAAAATATTTTTAATTGGTACCTAAAAGATTAAAAATGTGCTTATTTTTTATGATTCTCTAATATATTTTATTTGTTTTTAATATGTGTATCAATATTTTCCCAACAATATTAAGACTAAAAGAGTATCTATTAACTATTTTGAAATACTAGAGCATGTTTTAAAGGCAACTTTTTGTAGTTTACATGCTGGTAGTTTGGTGGTCTGTGTCTTTTTTTTATTAATTAATTTATTTATTTTAGTTAGGTATATATGACAGTAGAATGCATTTTGATTCATTGTAACAAAAATGTGCTTATTAATTAATATCACATTATGCTTCAATTAGGTTAAACACATACGTCTTCAAACATTTATTATTTCTTATGGTGAAAATGACAAGATTTTTTTCTAGTTTTTTGAAATATGCATTATGTTAGGATTTTAAAATATATAACTCATATAGCAATAATTTCATAATAGCTGTGAATGTATTTAAATTATCACCTTTATAAGAAAACCTATTTCTAAAGAATTTAAAAAGTGTTTTAATATACTTCATTTTCTATATACTATGATGCCCCAGGTGCTAAGTACATTTACCAAGTAAATCTGCATTTTCAGTGCTTTCAGCTGGGCCAAGATCACTGAGCAGAAGACTTGGGAAGACAGCACAACTTACACATTGGAGGCAAGGGGTCTAGGCCAGAGTGTTAGATTTGGCTGATAAATATTTGTTGACTAAAGGCAGGTGATTCTAACGACCACACTATATTTTTTATTATAACTCCTCAATTGTTGTTTACAATAACAATTATAAATAGCTATGTTAATAGTAACCCTTTTCTACTTTTGCACCATATGAAAATGAGAAATATACATTTGATAGATTGGGTTTCCTTTGCTATTGCATTGGAGTTTATGTATAGCTCTACCACCTGAGTGGATGACACATTTTTTTTTCCAAGTTTCTGGTTCATAAGCTACAACTCAGAAGTCAGTGAATTTATAAAAATAGGAGTAATCACATTTTTTTGAAAATGAGGGTACCACTTAGTGACAGTGACACCATGCTCATAGGTGGCTTTGGGCCATAGACTGAAGTGAATATCACACTTATGCTCATAGGTGGCTTTGGGCCATAGACTGAAGTGAATATCACACTTATGTTTAGCAAAACAGAATGGCTCAAACCAAGATATTTTGTAATGAAATCCTTCCTGTTTAATGACTTATAGGATGATCACCAAATTGTATCTTATCCATATAATTATACTGTTAACTCATAGATTTTTAATTTGAGAAAAGTTAAATGGAATAACTTCACCTGAAGTCTCATAATCTGCATCTTTGCTTTCATGATGAAATAATTGTTTTAATGATAAAATATCTTGACGAAGTTCAAAATATAAATCACTGTTTCCATAATGTGTCTTAACTTTTTAAAAATTTGCAATGTACCCATAGAGTAATTGAAAATAGAATTAACATTTTTTATAATTAAAATGAGTTAATTATTCTTTCTTTATTCATTGGAACACCTGTAAGAATGAAAAGAAAAAAGAAAAAAACTTGGAATATCAACTTCTACATCTTGGTAGAACTTTTCAAAAGGAAATTCAAATACTAATGTTTGGTACAACATACTATAAATGCGTAGCCAGAATTAAACTCTACTAAGAAAGGAAGAAATGTCTTTTGGATTTAAGAACACAGAGTTCTCCTGCACTCTGCTAAAATTTAAATGTAAAGTTACACAGTAATATCTATAAAATAGCATGTTTTTTCTAGTTTACAGATGATTATACCATGCCTCAAAAAGTTTAAATAATTTTCCAACATCACATAATTTATAATGGATTAAGTCAAGCCTGTCCTATGTACTTGTCTCTAAGAGGGGAGCTAATTGTAACTATTTATGCCATAGTAATCTGAATAGCTACCCTTAAATTATTTTCATAATAGAAAACAAACATGGAAATAAGGGTTTTCTCTATTGATTTGTAGAAAGAATTATATTCATAATATTAAGGTCAAGAGTCAGTTTGATTCTCACCTCCTGCCTTGGATAATCATAGTTCAAACTCAAAATGTCACATGGATCAGCCTTATTTTACAATCAATTTACTTTAAGGAGGAAGGACAGACATCATCAAATAATCATGAGGGGAACTTTCAGATGTCACTCTCAAATTATCTCAGTTTTATAAGCATCTGAAAGAATGTTACTCCACTCAAAACCAAAGGGAAACTTAAATATGTCTCCCCCCTGCTGTACTACAGGTGATGGACTGAAATCCATGTGCAGGTGATTTAAGTGCTACCACTGTACATGACAACAAGGAATGTATTTTGTGTTCATTGAAAAGCCTTATTTTCATAATCTAGGCATTAGTGCTATGTTGTCGACAAGATTGTCCTTGTTCCTTTCATGTGTTTCTTCAGAGGTTAATAGTAGATTCAGACTAACTTGAGTTCAGATTTCTGGTTAGAAATTTTCTGGCTAGGTTTTCCTCAAGTAAAATCAAAACCAAACACTAAATAACAAAATAGCCTTTGAAAGAGCCACTAAAATCTTTCAAACATGCTATTAATCTCTTTCTCCTTCCTACATTTAGATAGTAATATATGAACAATCTATTGTTCATGAAATGTTTTGACAGAAATTAACATTATTTACTTTTGTAAGGTCTAGAAATTGTATTCTATTACACAGTGATGAACTATCCAACATTGTTTCAGTTAGAGTGGGACAACATAGGTGATGCTAGACCCATGGCACCTAGGTGTGTGGTCTGCTGTTCCACCTCGTACTCCATCATAATGCCCCAGGGGTTAAAGCCCTGACAACCCATTTCTCACAACAAGTCCCTGTTATTAAGAGATATATGGCTGTATATCCTATTACATCAGAATTTTTGTTGTTAATAGCATGGGGAGTGAGCATTTCAATAAATTGATTTTGTATCCTGATACCATCAAAGTATATAAAACTTGTGTAAAATGTAATTTGTATAAAAAGATGATCTTTCTTAATTTAGGAATATTATCCCAAGTAAGAAGTGTTTTTGAATGCTATTCACATAATAAAGCACCTTAAATCCAATAAAAAGTAGAATAGTCTTTCAAATTGGCTTCTAAATTAATAGAGCAACCAGATTAATGAGTCTTGAAGTAACACAGTTTGAGCCAATTAGATTCTACAACAATCAATAAATCATCCTAGAAAATCAATTTTCCCTGATTACCTTAATGTTAACATCAAGATTATCAGATTTTTTTAAACTTGTATTCACAAATAATTAAGGGAAAATTCTTTGGATAGTGAAACTTGTTCTTTCAAGATCCTGATGAGACTGTGTCTCCAAGTTCTTAGCAGGAAGCCTGTTCCCTTCTGTGAAGACCAGAATGTGCTGCCAGGTGCGCTGGCATTGCATAGAAGCAGCGCTGTCTGCATGGACTGCAGAGGGCAGCAGACCCAGGTTCATGACTTTGGCAAGATGTGTGAGGGTATCTGCTGTTTACGATGAAAATGAAAAGTTGAGAGTCCCTCTGTAGCATCATTGAGATTGGCTTCCGCTGTTTGAGTGGAAGGATGTGAGGTTAATTGTGTGCTGAGGCTACATCTGATGC